AATAGTGAAATATTTCATAAAATCGTGCAATCTACTGAAGTCGACTAAATAGAGACTTATTTCATTTCTTTTATAAAGTAACCCAAATAGTTAAATATTTCACAAAATCTTGCAATTTACTGAACAGTCTTAAATTCAGTTACAAATTTAAAAAAATGAAAAGATTTCTCAAAATCTTTATATAAAGTAGAAAAATCTTGTAAATTTCTAAAAAGTAGAAATATCTTGAAAATGTTCTAGAAACAATATTACAATCAATACAACCAGTTTAACAAAAAATTCAAAATTTCACAAAATCTATATCAAAAGTAGAAATATCTTGCAAATTTATAAAAAGTCAACTGCATAGTGAAATATTTCACAAAATTTTCTTATTTTGTCCTAGTTTTTCTAGAAAGTCAGCCAAATAGTGATAGATTTCACTAGCAAATTTCTATTTTACAAATTTCTAAAAAGTCAACGAAAGATTTCACAAAATATATATAAAAAGTAGAAATATCTTGCAAATTTATAAAACGTGAACTGAATAGTGAAATATTTCACAAAATCTTCTAATTTGTCAACAATTTTTTCTAGAATGTCAACCAAATAGTGAAATATTTCACAAAATCTTGCAATTTACTGAAGTCAACTTATTTCATTTCTTTTATAAAGTCAACTGAATAGTGAAATATTTCACAAAATCTTCTTATTTTGTCCTAGTTTTTCTAGAAAGTCAGCCAAATAGTGATAGATTTCACTAGCAAATTTCTATTTTACAAATTTCTAAAAAGTCAACGAAATATTTCACAAAATATATATAAAAAGTAGAAATATCTTGCAAATTTATAAAACGTGAACTGAATAGTGAAATATTTCACAAAATCTTCTAATTTGTCAACAATTTTTTCTAGAATGTCACCCAAATAGTGAAATATTTCACAAAATCTTGAAATTTACTGAACAAGCTAGAAACATATTACATTAAGTTACAAATTTAAAAAAATGCAAAGATTTCTCAAAATCTTTATAAAAAGTTTAAATATCTTGAAAATATCTAAAAAGTCAACTGAATAATGAAATCTTGTAATTTACTGATCAGATGAATTTTAGGACATTTTTCTAAAAAACTCAATATTTCACAGAAACTTCTAATTTTTCAAAAATTTTTTCTACAAAGTCAACCAAATAGTGAAATATTTCATAAAATCGTGCAATTTACTGAAGTCAACTAAATAGAGACTTATTTCATTTCTTTTATAAAGTTACCCAATAGTGAAATATTTCACAAAATCTTGCAATTTACTGAACAGTCTTGAATTCGGTTACAAATTAAAAAAAAAAAATACAAAGATTTCTCAAAATCTCTATATAAAGTAGAAATATCTTGTAAATTTCTAAAAAGTCAACGGAATAGTCATTTATTTCACAAAAGTAGAAATATCTTGAAAACGTTCTAGAAACAATCTTACAATCAGTTTCCAGTCCATATAAAAAGTAGAAATATCTTGCAAATTTATAAAAATTCGACTGCATAGTGAAATATTTTACAAAATCTTATAATTTGTCAACGATTTTTTGTAGAAAGTCAACCAAATAGTGAAATATTTCATAAAATCGTGCAATTTACTGAAGTCGACTAAATAGAGACTTATTTCATTTCTTTTATAAAGTCACCCAAATAGTGAAATATTTCACAAAATCTTGCAATTTACTGAACAGTCTTAAATTCGGTTACAAATTAAAAAAAAATACAAAGATTTCTCAAAATCTCTATATAAAGTAGAAATATCTTGTAAATTTCTAAAAAGTTAACCGAATAGTCATTTATTTCACAAAAGTAGAAATATCTTGAAAACGTTCTAGAAACAATCTTACAATCAGTTTCCAGTCCATATAAAAAGTAGAAATATCTTGCAAATTTATAAAAAGTCAACTGTATAGTGAAATATTTTACAAAATCTTATAATTTGTCAACGATTTTTTGTAGAAAGTCAACCAAATAGTGAAATATTTCATAAAATCGTGCAATTTACTGAAGTCGACTAAATATAGACTTATTTCATTTCTTTTATAAAGTCACCCAAAGTGAAATATTTCACAAAATCTTGCAATTTAAAAATGCGATGATTTCTCAAAATCTCTATAAAATAGAAATATCTTGCAAATTTGCAAAAAGTCAACTGAATAGTCATATATTTCACAAAAGTAGAAATATATTGAAAATGTCAACTGAATAATGAAATCTTGTAATTTACTAGCAGAAATTTTATAAAGTCACCCAAATAGTGAAATATTTCACAAAATCTTGCAATTTACTGAACAGTCTTAAATTCGGTTACAAATTAAACAAAAAATGCAAAGATTTCTCAAAATCTCTATATAAAGTAGAAATATCTTGTAAATTTCTAAAAAGTCGACGGAATAGTCATTTATTTCACAAACTGAACAGTGAAATATTTCACAAAATCTTCTAATTTGTCAACAATTTTTTCTAGAATGTCACCCAAATAGTGAAATATTTCACAAAATCTTGAAATTTACTGAACAATCTAGAAACAGTAATATTTAAAAAAATGCAATGATTTCTCAAAATCTCTATAAAAAGTAGAAATATCTTGCAAATTTGCAAAAAGTCAACTGAATAGTCATATATTTCACAAAAGTAGAAATATATTGAAAATATCAACTGAATAATGAAATCTTGTAATTTACTAAAGAAATTTTATAAAGTCACCCAAATAGTGAAATATTTCACAAAATCTTGCAATTTACTAAACAATCTTAAATTCGGTTACAAATTAAACAAAAAATGCAAAGATTTCTCAAAATCTCCATATAAAGTATAAATATCTTGTAAATTTCTAAAAAGTCAACGGAATAGTCACTTATTTCACAAAAGTAGAAATAAAAAGTAGAAATATCTTGCAAATTTATAAAAAGTCGACTGCATAGTGAAATATTTTACAAAATCTTATAATTTGTCAACGATTTTTTGTAAAAAGTCAACCAAATAGTGAAATATTTCATAAAATCGTGCAATTTACTGAAGTCGACTAAATAGAGACTTATTTCATTTCTTTTATAAAGTCACCCAAATAGTGAAATATTTCACAAAATCTTGAAATTTACTGAACAATCTAGAAACAGTCTTACATTAAGTTCCAAATTTAAAAAAATGCAATGATTTCTCAAAATCTCTATAAAAAGTAGAAATATCTTGCAAATTTGCATACAGTCAACTGAATAGTCATATATTTCACAAAAGTAGAAATATCTTGAAAATGTCAACTGAATAATGAAATCTTGTAATTTACTAGTAGAAATATCTTGAAAATGTCTAGAAAGTCAACATTTTTTTTATAAAGTCACCCAATTAGTGAAATATTTCACAAAATCTTGAAATTTACTGAACAATCTAGAATTATTACATTAAGTTACAAATTTAAAAAAATGCAAAGATTTCTCAAAATCTCTATAAAAAGTTGAAATATCTTGAAAATGTCTAAAAAGTCAACTGAATAATGAAATCTTGTAATTTACTGACCAGTTGAGTTTTAGGACATTTTTCTAAAAAACTCAACTGAATAGTGCAATATTTCACAAAAACTTCTAATTTTTCAACTATTTTTTCTACAAAGTCAACCAAATAGTGAAATATTTCATAAAATCTTGCAATTTGCTGAAGTCAACTTATTTCATTTCTTTTATAAAGTCACCCAAATAGTGAAATATTTCACAAAATCTTGCAATTTACTGAACAGTCTTAAATTCGGTTACAAATTAAAAAAAAATGCAAAGATTTCTCAAAATCTCTATATAAAGTAGAAATATCTTGTAAATTTCTAAAAAGTCAACGGAATAGTCATTTATTTCACAAAAGTCGAAATATCTTGAAAACGTTCTAGAAACAATCTTACAATCAGTTTCCAGTTTCCAGTCCATATATTTGTCAACGATTTTTTGTTGAAAGTCAACCAAATAGTGTGTAACGACACGGTTTTCCGCTGGTTGCTGGGGTAGACTCAGCGGAGTCCAGGGTCGGTTTTAAAAGGAGTAAAACACAGATTTATTTTCGATAAACGTTATTTATTTATTAATTTATCACTCTTATACTACTAACATAACTGGTTAGCACGGTAAGAATGTATATCGTGTGGAGATATAATCTCCTTTAGCACGATGATGCTTTCTAGGCTATGTTAAAAGGTACTATTAGGAATTCCCAACATCGAAGTCTAACCTCGAGTGTTACAGGCGATGGTATATGATAGAGGTCTTACCTCTGTACATACCACCAGTTTCCCACTATACTCCCTTAAAATAGCCAAAAAGTTTAAAAATCTTACCGCTTGGCCACCAGCTAGCAGACTGATCTCTACTTAGAAATTACCTGCCTTATATACGCTGGATCCCATAGTTATTTACTTGTGTATTATTACAATTTTCTAAATGGGCAGGGTTGTATTTAAAACGTATATAATTATTTAATACTATAACCGACAACTAGATGGCGTTGTATACACTTACAGACGGTTACTTACAAAAACACATTATATTTACTTAAATGTTAATTATTTAAAAAAATAACGTTTAATCCACAACAAAATAATATGAAATTCAATAAACACAACAAAATTCAATAATAATAATGATTATAATAATAATAATAATAATAATAATAATAATAATAATAATAATAATAATAATAATAATAATAATAATAATAATAATAATAATAATAATAATAATACAAATATTAATAATAATAATAATATATAATATAACAACATAATACGAAATTCAATACATTTTGATGTAGGCAAAAACGAGGGTTCCGACTTTTGTCATCACATTACCTCCTTTCCTTCCCCGTGGATTCAAGGGTTGAGCCATATTATCCTTACGTTGCCTGACCTGGACACCATTATACGGTAAAGCTGGTTTGCAATAATTTTCATTATCCTTAGTTGCTGATGCGTCCTTCGTTTGGCCAGAATCTCTTCCACTATTTTTTTTACTTCTGCTGTTACTTGGGAGAGACGAACCTCTTTAGGGCTTGTTGGGATGGGAGGCGTTGTTGTTCCAGCTGAAACCTTTCCCAATCGCGGGGATGGCGTGTTATTTCCTAACTGCTGTTTTGAGCTCGTTGACCATGCTGAAGGGGACAATGTGGCTGAGGATGGTGATGATACTATAAAAATTAAGTCCGGAGATGCTGTTGGTGACGCGGATTTGTTTTTTGGTGAGGAATATGACTTGACCGAAGATGCTACTGATAATTTAGGAGATAGGTACACAAGTGGTGGAGTTTGTGCGGACGCACATGAACTGGGATGAATTGGTGTTGGTGGTAGTGGTATAAACCAGTCTCGGCCTGGGGTTTTGGGTATCATAAGGTGTTGTGAGGATGCACCGGGATATTGTGATGGAGATAGCGGTATAAACCAGTCGCGGCTTGGGGTTTTGGGTAACTCATTTGCTATTGGCGTTGGAGATGTTTGAGATTCTTTACTCAAGTCCATGTAACCTATTTCATATGTGGGCTTGTTTACTGGAACCATCAATTTCACACTGAAGGTTTTTTCAAAGCATTGATATCCCAAATGACGATATTGACTTTCTTTGAGTTCCCATGATCCAATACCTCGACGTCGCGGTGGTGTCGGTGGACGATAATTTTCATTTTCCCAATCCAAGGATGATGGTGACCGAGGAGGGAGTGGAGATGGTGGTGTCCCTGGACGTATGTCAACGCTTTGGTCATTCTCCCCAAAGAATCTTCTAAAGATTTCTTCCAAGTTTGGAAGATCACATTGATTAAGGATGTATTCCACGTCTCCTAAACCAATACCTGACGGCGATGATGTTGGGTCGGAAGCATCCTCAACAACATTTATCGGAGTTGTGTTGGAATCTTGATCCATAAATGGTGGTGGTGGTGGCACTTCTTCCTCACCGATATTATCCGGAGTTAAGCAAAAATCGACTAGTGGCGGTGGTGGTGGAGGTTGGCTATCTTCCTCATCAGAAACATTTCCCGAATTGTTTTTAGGGGGAGAGTCATCGATCACGATTACTGGATCGTTGCTTTTTTGTGTAGTCATTCTGTAAAAGAATGCGGTCCTTTTTGGTTTGAGCGGCCGCTTTGGTGACCGTGAAAAGGCTTTTCGCTTTTGCTGACTACGCACTCCCTTACTGGTAGATGGCAGATTGTCATCTTCCAGAAAAATGGTTTTTCGTATTTTCGCCCTTTCTTTCTCCATATTTTGGCGAAATTTTTGACGAGTATCTTCAAATTTTCGTTGATCGTCATTCATTTTTTTCTTTTTATTTCCACTTGAGATCTATAAGAAAACAAACAAGTAATTAATACACCCGTATCAATTTTAAGGCTTATTAAATTTGTCAGAATGTCGCGTTATCATAATAAGATTTTATGTCACTGAGATGTGCAGTGCGAATATCTCCGTTCTCTCCACAGATTTTCACAATTACAGGGGACACATATCCCTTGATGACATAAGGTCCCCCATATTTTGGCGCGAGTTTTGACGCGAAACCGTCAATTGCCTTCGAGAGAGGATGCTGACGAACTAGTACTTGGTCACCAATATTTGGTTTCCATCTGCGGCGTCGTAAATTATAACGGCGTTGCTGGATTTGAGAAGCCTTTTCTAGGTTTCTTCGCACAATACAGAAGATCTCTTTCAGTTCATTGGCTCGTTCTTCCGGATTTTTGTTTCGTGATCCTGTACCCACGGTTAGCTCATCGTAAAGGGCTCTTGGAAGTCGAGGTTCTCGGCTTTGAGTAAGGTAAGCTGGAGAGTATCCCGTTGACTCCGAAACGCTAGTGTTAACAGCCAACATTATTTCAGGCAATAGCTCGTCCCAGGTGTTATGTTTTTGACCTGATAACTGCGCAATAATTGTTTTTATGGTTCGGTTGGCTCTTTCTGTTGGGTTTTCTTGTGGGGTATAAGGAGCGGTGAATTGTTGATGTACACCGGTCTCTTCCAAAAACCTCTTAAAAATTTTCGATGTAAATTGCGTGCCATTATCGGTAATTATCACTTTCGGTACCCCATAACGGGTCAGTATTCGTTCCCGAAAAGATTTCACGAGGCTATCCGCTGTAGCTTTTCGTAAAGGTATTAACTCACACCATTTGGAGAAATTGTCGAAAAATACAAGTAACATCGTGTTCCCATGTTTACTCCTAGGGAGTGGACCCACAAAGTCTGCACAGATTGTAGCCCAAGGCTCTTCTGGAATTCGCGTGAGCATCTCTCCTGCTGGCGGCTGTTAAGATATTTTGTATTTTTGGCATGACTCACAGCGGCGAACATATCGGCATATATCCCGGCTCATTTTGGGCCATTAATAACGTGAAGCCACCTTATTAATACTTTTTCGGATTCCTAAATGGCCGCCGGCTGCATTGTCATGATTTTCTTGCATTACTCTTTCTCTTAGTGGGGCTGCTACACATAATTTCCACGGAGTGTTGTCATCATCGTTAATATCTCTCGAGAAGTGTTTGTAGAGCTGATTATTGATAATTGAATAATCGGAATACTTTTCGGGGTTCTTTTGTACTTCCTCAAGTTTCTCTTTCAGCCATGAACACGAAGCGTCGTTGACTATTTTGAGCATGTTTATGCTTTCCACAGGCTGTCGTGATAATGCATCTGCTACAACATTTTGTTTCCCTCTTCTGTATTGAATATCGAATTTATATTGTTGCAGTTCCAGGGCCCATCGAGCTAGCCTGCCCGTTGGATTTTCGATGTTGTTTAGCCATTTTAATGACAGGTGATCGGTTATTACTACAAACTCATAACCTTCCAAGTATGGCCTCATTTTGCGTATTCCCCATACTATAGCCAGACATTCCTTTTCTGTTGCAGAGTAGTTTTTTTCTGCGCCATTTAAATGTCGGCTTGCATATGCTATTACTTTCTCGGTGTCGTTTAAAGTTTGTGTTAGAACAGCGCCGAGTCCATAGTCACTAGCATCGGTTTGCAGCACGAACGGTTTAGTGAAGTCAGGGCAGGATAGGACTGGGGCCTCTGTCAGCTTTTGCTTAAGTAACTCAAACGCCTGCTGTTGTTCATTTCCCCATTTCCAGTGCTTACCCTTCTTTAGGAGTTGGGTGAGTGGTTTTGAAATTGTTGCAAAATCCGGCACAAATCGCCGATACCAAGAAGTTACTCCAAGAAATCTTCGCACTTCTTTTACGCACTTTGGAGGAGGCATTTCCTTTATTGCTGCTATTTTACCGGGATCTGTCTTAATTCCATCTTTGGTAACGACATGACCAAGGTATTTTGTCTGGGTTTTAAAAAATTCACACTTTTCCGGATTAATTTTTAGGTTTGCTGCCCTTAAACGCTGAAAGACCTTTTTTAAGTTTTCTAGATGTTCTTGAAAATTAGTTCCAATCACAATAATGTCATCTAAATAGGCGAAAGCGTGTGGTTCCATTTCCGGCCCTATGACTTGATCTAACGCCCTTTGAAATGTTGCGGGGGCCGAATGTAATCCAAAAGGCATTACGCGCCATTGGTACAGTCCTCGACCAGATACAGCAAAGGCAGTATATTTTTTACTTTCTTCTTCCAGGGGTATTTGCCAATAGCCATCTTTCAGGTCGATACTGCTTATAAACTTGGCGTTTCGAAGTCTATTTAAAATAGCGTCAATTCGGGGTAACGGATAGGCATCAGGGACAGATCGTTGATTTAATTGCCGGAAATCCATACAGGTTCGCCACGTTCCGTCTTTCTTCTTTACCAGTGTGATTGGAAAGCTATATGGGCTACATGAAGGTTCTATACACCCGCGAGCAATTAATTTATTTACCTCAACATCTATGATGGCTTGCATTGCAGGATTCCGTTGGGCATACCTTATCTTGATTGGGCGGTCGTCTTTCATCACTATTTTGTGTTTTGCGATATTGGACAGTCCAGTAATATTTTGGAATTTTGGCAGCTCCTTCTCTAAAAAGTGTGTAATTTCCTGTTTCTGGTTTGGAAATTCTGTTCGCTTTTCTGTTTCATTGATGCTATCTGCTGTTTCAATTTTCCGAATTTTATGCACTTTAACACTACTGCTTACCTTTTCAATGCGCCTGCTGTGACAATAACTTGATTGATGCTGGCTTAATTGACACTTTTCCACAATGAGGCCTCCACAGCTAAAGGTGGCATTGAACCGTTGAAGCAGATCCAGCCCTAAGATAATGTTTTCTGTAGCTTCTTTCATTATTAAAAATTCGCATTCTCTTGTGATGTTACCCAAGGTGACCTTAAATCTTGCCGCTCTAGAAATAACTCTTGGAGTTCCATCCGCTAGAAGGACATCGATATCTACAGGAACGTAGATAGGTTTTTCTGATAAACGTCGAACTTGTGTTGGTGTTATGAAGCTTCTAGTCGCTCCTGTGTCGATTATCGAGCTAATTAACTGACGTTCTATTAAAATATATGCCACTAGTTTTTCTTCTTCCCATATTAAGCGTGTTTGATTTTTATATGTTTGTTTCCATGACATCCTTGATTTGGTTGACGTACAACATGGTCCATTTTTGTGGTCACCATTCGATGATGCTCTCCACGCCAGTGTTGTGAATGGGTAGGAATGCTTTCTAAGTCATCTGCTAGCTGCATTAATTCATTTAATGTACTGAAATCCTTTCTTCGAATGTACCATTGGTAGTCCGGATGGGCGTTTCTGAAGATTCTCTCAATTTTTTCATCTTCCACCAAATTTGAGTGTCGCATTAAATCTTGAAGAGCAAGCACGTATTCCTTGAATGTTTCACGTGAACGCTGGGTACGTTTGCGGATCTCATCCTCTAGTTTTTCAAAGTAACGTGTAGGAAGAAAGAAAGCATAGAAATCTTTTTTAAACATTGACCACCTTTCCCAATGTTTGTTGTTGTTTCTAAACCAAATTAGTGCTTTATCTTTAAAAAATTCTGGCATCACTCGCGGTAGATGGTCTAAATCAACGTTGTACATATCGGACAGTTCTTCCGCACGCTCTATAAAGCCTAATGGATCTTTGCCTCCATCATATTTTAGACCCCATTTTCTGACCAGATCTATTACCACAACTCGATTTTCACTATGCAACTGGTTTACAGGCTGTACTTGCTTGGCTATAGCTGTAGAATCTCCTTCTTTGTTACTGACTTCCTCTTTTACTGGTGAAGCTGGCAATACGGTCGGGGGATGAAACGGAATCTGAAGTCTTATAGTTGGCGATGCATTATTTGTAGCCTCATGTTTCTGTTGCAATTCCAACAGGTCTTTCATCTCCTCCTCAGGGTGCTCGGTAGCCACGAATTTGGCAAATCTTTTGCGTAGTTCCTCTACGGTTCCTGGAGAATCTTTTCCAAACTGGGTTAGGTAGTTTACAAGTTCCTCCCGTTTTAGGGAGTATACCCAGGAAGTTCGCAGCATGGTTGTATAAATTTTAATGGTTGTTAAGCACTTAATGTTGTTGGACACTTTTAAGTCCCTGCTCGGGCGCCAATGTAACGACACGGTTTTCCGCTGGTTGCTGGGGTAGACTCAGCGGAGTCCAGGGTCGGTTTTAAAAGGAGTAAAACACAGATTTATTTTCGATAAACGTTATAAATCTTCGGTTTATTTATTAATTTATCACTCTTATACTACTAACATAACTGGTTAGCACGGTAAGAATGTATATCGTGTGGAGATATAATCTCCTTTAGCACGATGATGCTTTCTAGGCTATGTTAAAAGGTACTATTAGGAATTCCCAACATCGAAGTCTAACCTCGAGTGTTACAGGCGATGGTATATGATAGAGGTCTTACCTCTGTACATACCACCAGTTTCCCACTAGTCTCCCTTAAAATAGCCAAAAAGTTTAAACAATTGGGGAGATTTAATCTCCTCACCAGTTGTTCTTACCGCTTGGCCACCAGCTAGCAGACTGATCTCTACTTAGAAATTACCTGCCTTATATACGCTGGATCCCATAGTTATTTACTTGTGTATTATTAAGCTGGAGGTCCACACTACGCGTCTTCGCGGCAAAGCATTTCGTGCTTTTCATACATTCTTTGCATCCTACGCATCAAGTTACATGCTACGCTTCTTAAGCGTCAAATTTTTGCTTTATTTACAAAGAACTTCGCGTTTTTTTTTAAGTTTTTTGTTTATATTTTCACAATTTAACTCGTTTTAGTTATTAAAATTGATAAATACATATTAAAAATAGAATATAAATTGTCAAAATCAGCTGACATATTCGTGCGCCGCTTATGACGCTTACAAAAGTAGAAAGTAGATCTACTTTAAGCATTCTACGCGTCAAGGCATCCTACGCTTTTGTGCTTGTAACTTCTAGCACACAACAACATTGATTCAACTTTTTTGACAGCAGCGTAGAATGCGAAGAAGCGTAGAACGCGTGGTGTGGACCTCCAGCTTTACAATTTTCTAAATGGGCAGGGTTGTATTTAAAACGTATATAATTATTTAATACTATAACCGACAACTAGATGGCGTTGTATACACTTACAGACGGTTACTTACAAAAACACATTATATTTACTTAAATGTTAATTATTTAAAAAAATAACAACAAAATAATATGAAATTCAATAAACACAACAAAATTCAATAATAATAATGATTATAATAATAATAATAATAATAATAATAATAATAATAATAATAATAATAATAATAATAATAATAATAATAATAATAATAATAATAATAATAATAATAATAATAATAATAATAATAATAATAATACAAATATTAATAATAATAATAATATATAATATAACAACATAATACGAAATTCAATACATTTTGATGTAGGCAAAAACGAGGGTTCCGACTTTTGTCATCACAAGTGAAATATTTCATAAAATCGTGCAATTTACTGAAGTCGACTAAATAGAGACCTATTTCATTTCTTTTATAAAGTCACCCAAATAGTGAAATATTTCACAAAATCTTGCAATTTAAAAATGCAATGATTTCTCAAAATCTCTATAAAAAGTAGAAATATCTTGCAAATTTGCAAAAAGTCAACTGAATAGTCATATATTTCACAAAAGTAGAAATATATTGAAAATGTCAACTGAATAATGAAATCTTGTAATTTACTAGCAGAAATTTTATAAAGTCACCCAAATAGTTAAATATTTCACAAAATCTTGCAAATTACTGAACAGTCTTAAATTCGGTTACAAATTAAACAAAAAATGCAAAGATTTCTCAAAATCTCTATATAAAGTAGAAATATCTTGTAAATTTCTAAAAAGTCAACGGAATAGTCATTTATTTCACAAAAGTAGAAATATCTTGAAAACGTTTCAGAAACAATCTTACAATCAGTTTCCAGTTTCCAGTCTATATAAAAAGTAGAAATATCTTGCAAATTTATAAAAAGTCGACTGCATAGTGAAATATTTTACAAAATCTTATAATTTGTCAACGATTTTTTGTAGAAAGTCAACCAAATAGTGAAATATTTCATAAAATCGTGCAATTTACTGAAGTCGACTAAATAGAGACTTATTTCATTTCTTTTATAAAGTCACCCAAATAGTGAAATATTTCACAAAATCTTGCAATTTACTGAACAGTCTAGAAACAGTCTTACATTAAGTTCCAAATTTGAAAAAATGCAATGATTTCTCAAAATCTCTATAAAAAGTAGAAATATCTTGCAAATTTGCAAAAAGTCAACTGAAGAGTCATATATTTCACAAAAGTAGAAATATCTTGAAAATGTCAACTGAATAATGAAATCTTGTAATTTACTAGTAGAAATATCTTGAAAATGTCTAGAAAGTCAACTGAATAATGAAATCTTGTATTGTAATTTACTGAACATTTTTCTAAAAAGTCAACTGAATAGTGAAATATTTCACAAAATCTTCTTATTTTGTCCTAGTTTTTCTAGAAAGTCAGCCAAATAGTAATATATTTCACTAGCAAATTTCTATTTTGCTAATTTCTAAAAAGTCGCCCAAATAGTGAAATAGTTCACAAAATCTAGAAACAGGCTTACATTTAGTTACAAATTTAAAAAAATGCAAAGATTTCTCAAAATCTCTATAAAAAGTAGAAATATCTTGCAAATTTGTAAAAAGTCAACTGAATAATGAAATCTTGTAATTTACTGACCAGTTAAGTTTTAGGCCATTTTTCTAAAAAGTCAACTGAATAGTGAAATATTTCACAAAATCTTCTAATTTCTCAACTATTTTTCTACAAAGTCAACCAAATAGCAATTTACTGAAGTCAACTAAATGGAGACTTATTTCATTTCTTTTATAAAGTCACCCAAATAGTGAAATATTTCACAAAATCTTGCAATTTACTGAACAGTCTTAAATTCAGTTACAAATTTAAAAAAATTAAGAGATTTCTCAAAATCTCTATATGAAGTAGAAATATCTTGTAAATTTCTAAAAAGTAGAAATATCTTGAAAATGATCTAGAAACAATATTACAATCAATACAACCAGTTTAAGAAAAAATTCAAAATTTCACAAAATCTATATCAAAAGTAGAAATATCTTGCAAATTTATAAAAAGTTAACTGCATAGTGAAATATTTCACAAAATTTTCTTATTTTGTCCTAGTTTTTCTAGAAAGTCAGCCAAATAGTGATAGATTTCACTAGCAAATTTCTATTTTACAAATTTCTAAAAAGTCAACGAAAGATTTCACAAAATATATATAAAAAGTAGAAATATCTTGCAAATTTATATTTATGTGAAATATTTCAAATATTTCACAAAATCTTCTAATTTGTCAACTATTTTTTCTACAAAGTCAACCAAATAGTGAAATATTTCACAAAATCTTGCAATTTACTGAAGTCAACTTATTTCATTTCTTTTATAAAGTCCCCAAATAGTGAAATATTTCGCAAAATCTTGAAATTTACTGAACAATCTAGAAACAGTATTACATTAAGTTACAAATTTAAAAAAATGCAAAGATTTCTCAAAATCTCTATAAAAAGTTGAAATATCTTGAAAATGACTAAAAAGTCAACTGAATAATGAAATCTTGTAATTTACTGACCAGTTGAGTTTTATGACATTTTTCTAAAAAACTCAACTGAATAGTGCAATATTTCACAAAAACTTCTAATTTTTCAACTACTTTTTTCTACAAAGTCAACCAAATAGTGAAATATTTCATAAAATCTTGCAATTTACTGAAGTCAACTAAACAGAGACTTATTTCATTTCTTCTATAAAGTCACACAAATAGTGAAATATTTCACAAAATCTTGCAATTTACTGAACAGTCTTAAATTCGGTTACAAATTAAAAAAAAAATACAAAGATTTCTCAAAATCTCTATATAAAGTAGAAATATCTTGTAAATTTCTAAAAAGTTAACGGAATAGTCATTTATTTCACAAAAGTAGAAATATCTTGAAAACGTTCTAGCAACAATCTTACAATCAGTTTCCAGTTTCCAGTCCATATAAAAAGTAGAAATATCTTACAAATTTATAAAAAGTCAACTGCATAGTGAAATATTTTACAAAATCTTATAATTTGTCAACGATTTTTTGTAGAAAGTCAACCAAATAGTGAAATATTTCATAAAATCGTGCAATTTACTGAAGTCGACTAAATAGAGACGTATTTGTCAACGATTTTTTGTAGAAAGTCAACCAAATAGTGAAATATTTCATAAAATCGTGCAATTTACTGAAGTCGACTAAATAGAGACCTATTTCATTTATTTTATAAAGTCACCCAAATAGTGAAATATTTCACAAAATCTTGCAATTTAAAAATGCAATGATTTCTCAAAATCTCTATAAAAAGTAGAAATATCTTGCAAATTTGCAAAAAGTCAACTGAATAGTCATATATTTCACAAAAGTAGAAATATATTGAAAATGTCAACTGAATAATGAAATCTTGTAATTTACTAGCAGAAATTTTATAAAGTCACCCAAATAGTTAAATATTTCACAAAATCTTGCAAATTACTGAACAGTCTTAAATTCGGTTACAAATTAAACAAAAAATGCAAAGATTTCTCAAAATCTCTATAAAAAGTAGAAATATCTTGTAAATTTCTAAAAAGTCAACGGAATAGTCATTTATTTCACAAAAGTAGAAATATCTTGAAAACGTTTCAGAAACAATCTTACAATCAGTTTCCAGTTTCCAGTCCATATAAAAAGTAGAAATATCTTGCAAATTTATAAAAAGTCGACTGCATAGTGAAATATTTTACAAAATCTTATAATTTGTCAACGATTTTTTGTAGAAAGTCAACCAAATAGTGA